TCTTTTGCAAGGAGTGCCATTAGAAGGGCACTACTCACAGAACACGTCACTACTTGGTGCATATAAAGATAACAGAATCTGTTCAGGAAAGATATGTTCCCATAAGATTGTGTGGAACTTAAAGCAGCGAACAGTTCTATCCACCAATAAGAAAATTAGATGTGGTTTGTTAACCAGAATGGCAGTGTCTTATACCCACTTTGCACAGTTAGAAGGCCTTGACACAGAAAGGTACTTAAGCAGGCATGTCACTTATGTATGAATGACCCTGTGAAGTCAATCAGATGATTTATGTACTTGAAGTTATACACATGCATATGTGTCTGAAAGACTACACAAAGGTAGTTAGGGCCAAAAGGCATCCTAATTATTTTCTAATACTCAGACATCCACAAAGATACTGTCTGCACTTGAAAATCAATCTGCCTAGGTGTTAAATGTATGAAAAATATGAAAGCTTGATTGTTGTTCTTAAAATTTTCCTCTACAGGGTAAATACTAAATTACATTATAACTTTTTTTGCTCAGATTCATTTTGGTATCCATCTGCAACTGCATGATAAAAGATACAGTATGCCTAGTTCAATAGGTCTAGCCTATTTACTGGAGTGAAAGGTTTTTGAGCTAGGGTCAGTGCTAATGAGAAGGAAGAAAGGCTCACAAAGCCAAGGTGCTCATCAGCCAGACACATAAATAAAACAGCCGTCTGTCTATTGGCTACTTGAAGCCCATTTGGTGTAGAAAGAAGGCAATTACTAAGGCAGGGACAGAGACTGGAGAAATGGGGCAGGCTGTGCGTCACTTGTACTACAGATTTCACAATTTTAAAGGCTAAAAGTGACAAGTAGCCATGCTCTTGGTTATATCCCATCTGCCACTTTCATTAGGTCATTAAAAGTGTTTTAAAAATGATAAAATAAGTAATAACATCTAACTAATGGATGTCAAATTATTAACATAAATATTACACAATTTATTTATTTGTTTCACCAAGGACTTGCATTCCTCTGTTTTGCTTTCTATTTTAATTACTATAATGTATCATATTAACTAGAGCTTCTGGCTTGTTGCCTTTTTTTTCCTGAGGCATCTCTGAGAGGGCAAACCCAGGTAAAAAAATAAAATAAGAGTGTTAGTGGTAATAGCCACAATGTGGGCACTACTGAACTACCCTGAGTTAACACCCGTAACTGTCATTCCTCTTTTTAATTTGCTCAATTTATTGCTATTTTCTATTAGTGTTCTATACAACTTTTTCCTTGAGGCTTCATTGCAAGATTACTCCCTTCATCCCAAATAGTGGATGTGTCTATATAACAAAACGTGTTTAGAATACATGCAAAGAAAAAAATGTGGGTTATTTCATTTTAATTTCAAGTTTGTTTGTAAACCACAATGGTTCTGTTTGGTTGGAGTACAGGGGACAATTTTAGTCACAAGCAATGCTGACTGAGGTACTTCCCAAGTTACTTTGACTCTCCCTCTGCCCACTCTGCCAATAGGCAGAGCATAAGGGGAAAGAATTTAAAACTGTGAAAATCTTAAGTAACAAAACCATGAGCCAAACAGTACCCATGTCTTTTGGAGATTTCAGTGCATACCTATAATTTGGGGTCTGCTCACTGACAATTTTTGTTAGAATTCCATTTGTGGCCCCGTGGTCCTGTTAGGTGATAGCTGGTTATCTACCGTGATTGGGAATTTTAGTTCATCCATACTCACCCTATTCTAGTACAAACCTTGACAGTTTGAATTAACCTTGCAAACCCTTTTACCAAGCCTGCTCTAAATGGCTTAAAGTAGAAACCATGACCACATCCCTATGAGCGTGGCTATGTGGTATGTGGCACCACAGATATGCCTGTGGCATCAGACACCTCATATTCAGCTGTTCTCCATGCTGCAAGGGAGCAGCACAGGGGAATTTTTGACCCCTAAATATCCAAGGGTAAAAAAAAGACGTGGAAAAAGAAAAGTGGAGTGGTGCACATAGGGCATTCACCACTTTCAGGAATTGCATGGGGAAACACAAGTAACTCAGGGTGGGGGGGGGAAGGGGAGGGGACAATGGGACTGGGGAGGCTGGCAAGTCCCTATGGAGTTTAGCAGGATCAGGGTGGAGGGTCTACAGAACGAGAGGAATTGGTGGGTCCATAGGGGAGGTTGGAAAGCTAAAAAATAGCTCAGGGTTGGGAGAGGTGGGATTAGCACAGCTCTAGTGCTGGGGTGAGTGGCTGGGCTTTCCCTGCCTTGAGGCTGGGTTACAAATGTGTGTAGGTGTTGGCAAAATTGGGTTAAATCTTTCCTAGGCTAGGTTAACCCAACCTTGATCTAAATTAGCACACTTCTTAATGGGGAGCGTCTACACATGCCAATTCAAGGCACTTTAGCCTAATTTAAGGCACATTAAGTGTGTGCATCTATATATGTGCGCCCTTAATGCACTTAAAAATGGCAATTTTAGGCTATTCACACCTAAATTTGATACCTGTAAAAGCAGGTATTAGATTTAGGCACAAATACCTAAAGCTCATTAACGCACATGTAGATGCATTAAGACTCATTAACACTGCATATGGACTGACTTGGGACTAACTTTAGTTCCATGTCAGTCTGCGCACACAGTGTTAATGCACTTTAATGCATGCACATGTAGATGTGGGCCTAAATTGCATTAATGCGCATTAAGCTAATGCTCGTTAAATTTAGGTGTGCCTAAATGCATATGTAGACATGTCCATGATGAACTAACACAGATCAGAAACACCATTTTTGGGGCAATTTAAGCCCTCTGACCCCATGAATGATTGGACATTTATACTGATCTAACCAGGGTTAGGTCAATCTAAGTGGCTGTATGTACCCCATAGGAAGCTATAATGATTTTAACCTCAAATTAGGCATAACTTGCAATATAAGGCAAGGAACTTTCTGCTTCAGGTTTATTATAACCAATTATGACAAGTCAAACCTTTGTGAGCCAAAGTTGAACCAAAGGGTCACATGAGACGGTAAGAATCAAACCAGCTTTATGTTTATACAAACCAGCTACAACTCTAATGCAAGAATTTTGTCTACCATGATCTCAATTTGATCATTCTTCCAAAGAGAAGTACTTGAGCTGGGCATCTGCCATCTCATTCTTCCCCCAGATTAAAATGTGACCTCCTCTTCACTTACAGATGTTAACTACAGACCCCAAAATTTAGAAATAAACAGGGCATATTTTCAGAGTTGCATGTAATCAAAAGCAGCTGACCATATCCTATTTGCATCCTGGTTCAGTGTCATCCATAGTGTAACGTGTAACAAGGCCATCAACAAGGTAACAAGTGTAACGAGGCCATCAACAAGGCCAATCACACCTTGTCGTGCATTAGCAGGTGCATGACTAATAGAACAAAGGAGGTGATGCTCCCCCTCTATGCGGCAGTGGTCAGGCCGCAGTTGGAGTACTGCATCCAGTTTTGGGTGCCACACTTCAAGAGGGATGCGGGGAATCTCGAGAGGGTCCAGAGGAGGGTCACTCTCATGATTAGTGGCCTTCGTGATAGACCCTACGGAGGGAGGTTGAGAGAGCTGAATCTCTTCAGCCTTCACAAGAGATGGCTGAGGGGAGAGCTTGTGGCCGCCTATAAATTTATTAGGGGAGGTCAATGGGGAACAGGGGACGTGCTGTTTACTAGGGTGCCCCAGGGAGTGACTAGGAATAACAGGTGTAAACTAGCTGAGAGTGGATTTAGGTTAGATATTAGGAAGACATTTTTCGCAGTAAGGGTGGCCAGGATCTGGAATGGGCTTCCAAGAGAGGTGGTGCTATCACCTAGCTTGGAGGTCTTCAAGAAGAGGCTAGACAGTCACCTGGCTGGGGTCATCTGACCTCAGTCCTCTTTCCTGCTAGGGGCAGGGGGTCAGACATGATGATCCATTGTGGTCCCTTCCGACTCTACAATCTATGAATCTATGAGTAGTGAACTCCTATGGCCCACTATTATAAAGTCAGGCTACAACTATTACAAACATTTGCTGCCCCTTCACCTGATGGACATTCTTAGTGCTGCACACCTCTTTCCTTCACATTGCAGATCTCCTGCAGCAGTTACTTTCAAATTAACAGAATATCTGGCTACACTGGATGATCCCATTAGCTGGATGTTTCTTATAAACAGCTTTTAAAACAAAAAACACTACTGGTGTTTAACCTGTCCCTGTTTAGCTTGAATTTGCCTCATCTCTTTTGGCTGTTACTGGGATGGGCTATCTGCAAATGCAGTGATGCTACTCCACTAATTTACATGCAGAAGGGTTTCTTTACAACCTGGAAAACTGCAAATATTTTGAAATGGAAGCTTAAATTCTGTAAGACAAAAATCATTGAAGGAGCACATGAACTAAAGTATATTATGGCAGGACAGCCCTACAGGCCTCTTCTAGCAGCAGGATACCCAACGTGGGGTTCTATGGATCATAACTCCACACCTATTAATGGATAGGTTTTTACTGTTCATTTCAGAAAGTCATTTTTTGTTATAAATGTTATACAAGTATTGCCTTGAGCTCTCAAATTGTTTACTCTATTAACTGTTTCTGCATTGCATTTTATTAGGATTAGCTTGTTAAAACCACAAGTGCTTATCTGCATATTCTTCTGACCTTCCTAAATCCCATGCTAATAGCTTTACACCTGCTGGCAATACAGAGCAACACAGATATGCTAGATGTTACATACTGTGCACTGACAGTATCTTTTATTGGATACCCTAGGAAAATGTTAGTATCACATACTCAGAGCAGCAGTCCTGACAGTATTGTTGTGTAGGTTGTTTGTAATTTTGTGACCTTTCTATGTCTTACCTTCTGCTAAAAAAATCTGACAGTCAATGGAATGAAGACACCATTTAGGAACAAATTGGCCTGCCATTGTACAGTCTAATAGCAAAGCTTGCTCACAAATATGCAGAAGATGGAGGGGTGGGGGGAAGGGGAAAGAGGCTGCTTACCCTTAGGAAGGACAGGTCTCGGTTGTGTTCAATGCTGGTGATTTCCAGGTTGCCCATAACTACCTCGCAGTTTTCATAATACTTGCGCAATGCTCGGTACTGCTGCTCCAGATCCGAGAGAGAACTCAGCTTGTTCTCAGTACCAGCACACACTGCAAAGAACAAAGGGAAAGTAATGATCAGAACTTTGAATATGCGGACATACAGAAACAAAAAGGGAAACGAGACTGATATACAGGGACAATACCCTTATGTTAATCTCTATGTTAACAGAAGTAGGAGTAGCAAAAGTAGAAGACAGGTAGCTACTAATAGGCAAAAGGTAGGACAAGGTGGCACCTTAAAGACCAAGTAATTCAGAGAGGCATGAGCTCTTACAGACAGCAACATACTACGTCAAATACACAACATCTGTATAGCATCTGACAAAGTAAACTCATGCCTCTCTGAACCAGTGGCTCTGGAAGTTGCCACCCTGCCCTACCTTCTACCTGACTTCAGCCTAACAATGCTAACCATCTCTCTAGCTACTACTAATGTTCATGTCAAAACAGATGATCTTGGCCTACTTACTGGAGAGCAAGTGAAAAGCAGTGATTTAAAAAATAATACAAAGCTATTCATCAATCAAACCTAAGGGCCATACTAAGTCTCAGTGAAGTCCACATGAATTTGTGGACTAGAATTTGGACTAACATTTGGAAGTCCTGCTAATTGAATTGATTCATTGGGTTTGTCTATATGATAATACACAGTGTTAGTTAGCAGTATTGGTTCATTGTACCATACTTTCCTGCAGGGAAGTGGAATATTTTACTAATGCACCCCACCCTGTTTCTGGTACATAAGTTATTGGCACTACATTTTGACTTGGGACACATCCCACGTCCACTGGGACACATCCATAGATTCAAGGATAGGAAAAGGACCACCATATCATCTGCCCCCCTGGTCTATGTGGTACAACACAGACCATAAAATTTCATATAATTCTTCTTACTTAGAGGCCAGAAACACATGCTTGGCTTGGATGTATTTCCAGAAATACATCCAAGTCTATGAAGGTAGAACAGAAAGGATAAATTGTTTTCCTCCTCTCTTTAAGGTGATGTACATGCATGTTAAGGATCAGATAAATGTGAAAAACTTCAAAAAATTGTAAATGTAAGGTACAGTCTATTCTGAAAAAAACTACAGTAGAATTGGCATCAAAGGGAACTGGCAGGAGTCTATATATGCATCTCTCAGTAGTTCCCAATGAAATTCATTCTTTCAATAATGAAAAAAGAGCTTTTATTCCTGATTCAAATTTAACTGAGATTCTGAAAGTCAAAATAGTTTCTTTTTGGCCTATGTATCACTTAGCAATAACGATTCCACAAATAAAACTTAACAGAACACTGAACTTCTCTCTTTTTCTTTCTCTCTCTCTCTCTCTCTTTTAGTTTCTGGTGGAGCACTCTTTCAAAAAGAACCCCCAAAAGCACCACCCCACACCACTACCAAATCAGGCCCACCTTTTTTCACAATACGTTGTACACATAAGCCTGCCTGACTACTTTTCTAACTTTACTTTTCCTACTACTGTTACTGGAAAACATTCTCTTTCTCTGATGGATATGTGAGAGTATACCCGAGTCTCCTAGTATAGAAGAGTGATGTCAGTGTTCTAGCGCACGTGACTGGCAGGACTACAGACTAAGCAGTGGAGCTGATTAGATGCAAAGTGTATGTGCACAGATTCACAGAAGTTTAGGGCTGGAAGGGACCTCATGATGTCTTCAGGTCCACCCCCCTGCTCTGGGCAGGAAAGACTTCTGGGGTCAAATAACTTCAGCAAGGTGTGCGTCCAGTCTCCTTTTGAAGATGGTGATTATGCACATTGATCAGACAGAAAAAAATACCTCTAATCATTCAGTTACAGTTATCATATTGAGAAAGTGCTGTTTTTCAATTGATATACTCTAATAATTCTGTGCTTTATACTAGAGGCAGATTAGAATTCACCTTATTCTCTTACTGTGGGTGCTGCATAGCTTAATAGGAGTTACAAAAGAAAGGCAAACACTTACTGTGGCCCACAAAATTGAGACTCTGAATGCAAACACATGTGACAATGTAATAATTACCATGAATTTTCAGAGTATAAACACGTCATAAATTTAAGGCTGGCATTCTCTTCAAAATTTGAAGTCCCAAATACTGTTTCCCAGCATTAAAATGTATAGAACCCTGTACGTTGAATGGCTACAGAATGAAATCAGGAAAGAGATATACAATGGCACCACTTAGGCCACTGAAGACCTTAAAAAGAAAGAAAGATCGGATCTGATGGGTAATCCCAACAATCATGCCTCCTGCCATGCCACATATGATTGTGGGATCGAGCATCAGATCCCATCAGGCCAGGGGGGAGCTGGTGCAGGGGGAACCCAGGATGAGGATTCCAGCCTTCCCTTGCATTAATAATCTTCTTTCCCATCGCTGGGCGCTTCATCAGCTGATAGCGTCCCCAGCACATTGTGTGCCCCTGTGGGTGGAAGCTCTGATCACTGCCTGGAGTTTCAGTCATGGGAGCCCATGGCCTGCCACTGGAGCTGGGAGCCCTAGCAGTTATCTAGTTGTGGGAGTGCACCATGCACTCCTGCAGCTGGGAGTACTGTCAGCAGATCATGGCTCCCAGCTAAAGGAGCTCACTGCGCTACCCCAATTGGGAGCCCCGGTGAGCAGACCAGTGCTCCCAGCCTCTGGAGCACACGGGACTGTGCTCCAGAGACAAAAATTAACATATTTCCAGGTTTTTTCAGTTGGTCGTAACTGGATTAATATTACTTATTTTGAGGACTGGGGAGAGGGCATGTTTACATCATAACATACACTTTTGCACATTCTTTTCTTTTTATCCTCTTTTTCTTTTTGACAAGTTACTTGTGGGCAATTCTAATCTATAAGCAAATAAATTTCAATGTATCCAAACTTTCAAAACATGCGATATATTATGCAAAACATCAACCAGACCGAAACAGCTTTTTTCTGGAACCATTCCCAACCTTGGATTAAATCGATGCAAACAAAACCCTATATGACCAGAGGCACAATGAGTAAAATTTGCTAAAATACACTTTTCTGATTGATTTGGATCTTTTTTAAATACCACCAATAATTAAGTTTCTATGAGCATTATTATTATTGACTGTTTGTTTGCCACATCCCATCTTTTAAAGCAAATAGTTTTATGAACACTGGGAAAACAACTCTCTGATCTCCATCATATATGCTATTTCTTGTTCAGATATCTATTGTTGCCTCAGAATGGCTCAACTCCAAACATTCATTTACTGAAGAGTTAAAGCAGACAACCAGAGACCCTTATATCTGTTACTGGCATCCTCCATAGGTAACTTCTAGGGCTGTGCAAAACAGCACCATTTTGTTTCAACTTCCATTTCGCCATTTCAAAGGGCAGTGTTTCATTTCATCATTTTGTTTCATTTTGTTTCGAAGCATTGTTCCTTTTTGTTTCATCAAAACTGTTTCATTGTTTTGAAGTGTTTCAACGTTTCGCACATAGCCTATAATGGAGAATCATTAAAATGCCTAAAACTTTGTCATTTCTTGCCTGATTAGGATGAAAATTGCAGAGATAGTAGTGCTTTCTGGGAGCATGAAGCCTTTCTAGTTTCAAGGAGATAGGTGCAGAGGTTTCTGGGAAACTGTTCTTCAAACTGTTCAAGCAAAACTCATGATACTTGCCAGCAGCAACCTCCTGTCATCCCGTGCACTGATCTTGGGGCCCGCATGCCTGGGAGGGCTGAGGGGTTGTGTCAGACTACTTCTAGGGGTTCAGGCCCCCAGATCTGTGCACTGGATGAGAGGAGGCTGCTGCTGCCCCCTGGGACCAGCGCTGGGCGCAGCCTGGGCCCAGCGCTGGGAAGATTGCTGCTGCCGCTGGCCCCAGAGCTGGTCTCATGTGGCAGCAGCAGCCTCCTCTCCTCCTCCCGTACTTACCTATTGCTCACTTGTACTCTCCTGTGGCTTACCTGGCCCAGATCAGCTACTTACCTGTGCAGGGCCCAGTGCCTTTAGCAGTGGTGTGATCCTTGGAACATAGCATCATACTGTGTGTGTGTGTGTGTGTGTGTGTGTGTGTGTGTGTGTGTGAATATGTATTAATATCACCTTCTCTACACCCTGTGTATATGTACATCAATAAATCTGTATATAGTTAAGTTCCAGATTGCCCTGGCCTGGCTCTTTTGGGACAGAGGGAAACTGTGAGTAGTCTGCAGTTTCATCCACAGCACACCTGCCAGTTAACAATCCCCTTCAACTGGAAAAGGGAGTACATACCCATGTACACCCAGGCTACATCAAAATTGTTTCTCTTTCATGGGCTATGAAATGGTCTCATCATTGTTTTTTCAATTCTCAGTTTAAGAACAAAATCAAAACCAATGCTTGTTCCCCCTCTCTTTACTGAAAATCTTGTTTTACATTTGAAGTGGAAGCTAGATAATTCTTGCTTTGAAATTTTCCCTATAAAACCTGATGAAATATGAGGAATGTCTTACATTTGAAAGCTTGTCTAAACCTATCCCAACTATGCAGTTGGTCCAATAAAAGATATCACCCAGGCTAAATATAGAGAGTCATAAAACCTGAGGATGAATTGATTCAGTCTTTGCAGGCTAGTCTAAGCTGCATAGATTGATGCGATAAGCAAGTGAACAAACATTCACTTTTGATTCTGGAAATGCAGCCGCATGCCTACAGTGGCCCAAGCCAGAAGCTGGAGGGTGCTAGAGTATGCCTCCCTGCTTGGCTGGAGCAGACGGCTTGGGCCACCCGCCTCCCGTGAGGGGGGGGGGGGGGGGGGTTATGGGGGAGGTGCAAAGCATCCTGGGATGTTGGGGGACTATGAGCTAACTTGAATTTGATGGGATTGGGACAGAAGTTCAATAACCCAATTTGACTTAAACCAGTTAAGTCTGATACTACATCCATCCAGATTTATCTTAAACCAGTTTCATCCATTGTAAAGATTAAGTTTGCTGAACTTCTATTGTGTTACAAATGTGATTCAGTTTCCATTGACTTATACTGATTTATATGTAATTTATGTCCCTAACCCCAAATAAAGCCTTACCTCTCCCATAAACCCCTACATTTTTTAAGGACATTGTAG